TACCTGCAGCATCTGTCAGCCGGCGAGCAGGTTTTTTTGGTGGGCCATCCGGCCTACCCGGCACCGCAGTCGCAGCCGGGGATTCTACCAATACTGTATGGAGAGTGCCCACTGCCGCAACCGAGCGGCGGCTACGGCCTCCGCATGGCGTCTCCGCCCCCTCGCCGGCCCTGCCGCCGGCGCCCTGGGACCCGGTGCTCCTCCCCACACTGCATGCCACTCCTATGCCGAATAACTACACTAGAGGTTGTGATTGGTACATGGACACCAGTGCTACGGCTCACATGTTTTCTCATCCTGATAACCTTGCCTCCTTCACTCCTGTCTCCACTGACCGCCGCATCACTGTCGGCGACGGTTCCACACTTCCTATCACACACATTGGGCACACTTATTTTCCTTCTAGTTCTACTCCATTATTTTTGTCTAACATACTTGTGTCACCCCATCTTATTAAGAATTTCATTTCTATTCGTTGTCTCACTCGTGAAAATCCTGTTACCGTTGAATTTGACGAGGTTGACTTTTGTGTCAAAGACGCTCGAACCAGGATGGTACTTCAGCGATGTGACAGCCCTGACGAGCTCTATCCCGTTCACTCGCTTTCATCCACCACCACCGCACCGGTTGCTCTCTCCGCTGGACGATCTCTGGCACGCTCGCTTGGGTCATCCCAACCCCGTCACACTTCGTCATATTCTTAGGAGTTTCAGTTTCAGTTGTAATAAGATCGAGGATCACACTTGTCATGCCTGTCGAGTCGGCAAACATGTTCATCTGCCGTTTAATAATTCCACCACCATTGCTTATTTTCCTTTTCAGTTGATTCATTGCAATGTGTGAACTTCTCCAGTTCCCAGTAACTCGCCTATTTATATTATCTAGTCATTCTTGATGATTATTCTCATTATGTGTGGACTTTTCCTTTGCGCAGAAAGTCGGATGCACTCTCTACCTTGACGACTTTTTACTCCTATGTCCGCACGCAATTTGGATGTCCCATCCTTGCGCTTCAGACGGGCAATGGAAAAGAGTTTGAGAACCTCGCTTTCCGCACCTTTTTGTTGCATCACGATACAGTTTTCCGCCTCACATGCCCGTACACTTCACAGTAGAATGGTGGAGCCGAACGCGTCCTTCGCACTCTGAATGACTGCGTTCACACGCTCCTGTTTCATGCCAACGTGCCGCCTCGTTTCTGGCCGGACGCACTCGCCACTGCATCACTTCTTCTTAACATTAGACCCTGCCGCCCACAGTGGAACTACGCACCTCACCATCTTCTCTTTGGTACGCCCCCGTCTTATGATGACTTGCGTGGGTGTCTTTGCTATCCCAGCACCGCCGACACTGCTTCTCACAAGCTCGCACCTCGATCTGTCACTTGCATCTTGATCCGCTACCCCTCTAACTCCAAGGGATATTGATGCTATGATCCCGTCTCCCACCGTGTGTTCACTTCCCGACACGTTTACTTTGATGAGCATGTGTTTCCGTTTCACCAGGTACCCCCGGCTGTTCCTCCCGCCACCAGCGACACGGACTCCTCGACACCTCTCCCAAGGGCGCTCACGCGCCTCTCTTGACCCGCCCCTGGCTTTGAGGCGCGCCCCCCGCATGCGGCGCCTCCTACAGCCGTGGCGCTCGCGCCCCTGGCGCCCCCGACGTTGGCGCCCGCGGTCCTCGTGGCCCCCCCAGCGCCCCCAGTGCCCGCGGCCCCCGTGGCTCCCCCTGCGCCTGCAGCCCCCTCGGCGGCCCCGGCGCCCTCGGTGCCCCTCGTGCTCCCGGCCCCCTCGGCGCCCCCGGTGCCCCCGGCACCGCCCACGCCCCGGCCCCCTGGCACCTGTGGCCGGTCCGGTCACCCGCGCCCATACGTGTGTTTTTTGCCCGAGCTAGCGCTACGCCTCGGATGACTACGTCCATGCGACGTCCACCTCTGAGCCGTCGCCATTGCCGTCCTCCGTTCGAGCCGCTCTTCATGACCTGCTCTGGATGGTTGCGATGCAAGAGGAGTTTGACGCCCTATTGCGCAACCGGACGTGGCAGCTTGTTCCCCGTCCCCGGCACGCCAACGTGATTACCGGGAAGTGGGTCTTTAAACACAAGCTCCATCCTGATGGTACCCTTGATCGTACAAAGCGCGTTGGGTCGTTCGTGACTTCCGACAACGTGCTGGCATCGACTTCATTGACACCTTTGCTCCGGTCATCAAGCCCGGCACGACACGCACGGTTCTCCACCTTGCGGTCTCCCGTGCTTGGCTGGTGCACCAGATAGACGTCTCTAACGCCTTCCTCCATGGTCACCTCGAGGAGCAGGTCTTCTGCCAGCAGCCCACCAGGTTTGTTAACCCGGTGCTTCCCGACCACGTGAGCCTGCTTTCGCGGTCCTTGTACGGACTCAAGCAGGCTCTGCGTGCTTGGTACCAGCGCATCGTGGCGTTTCTCCACCAGTTTGGGTTCCGCTCTACCCGCTCAGACGCCTCGCTCTTCGTCTATCATCGGGGCTCCGACACGGCCTACTTGCTGCTCTATGTCGACGACATCATCCTGACGGCATGTACGGCTAGTCTCCTTAGTCAGCTCACGGCTCGTCTTCGCGCTGAGTTCGCCATCAAGGACTTGTGTCCTTTGCACTACTTCCTCGGTGTCGAGGGGGTGCGCCGTCTCGATGGCTTCTTCCTTCATCAGCGGAAGTACGCTCATGGGCTCCCAGAGCGTGCCGACATGCTTAACTGCAAGCCCGCCGCTACGCATGTTGATACAAAGGCCAAGCTTTCTGCAACGGATGGTTCTCCTGCTTCGGATGCTGCTTTCTATCGGTCTATCATTGGTGCTCTTCAGTACCTCACTCTGACTCGACCGGAGATCCAGTATGCCGTGCAGCAGGTGTGTCTTCATATGCATGCTCCTCGAGACGTTCACTGGGCTGCGGTCAAGCGGGTTCTCCGCTATGTCTGTGGCACTATAGATCTTGGCGTCACGCTTCAGGCCTCCGCCGACACCGCCCTCACCGCATACTCTGATGCAGACTGGGCAGGCTGCCCTGACACTCGTCGCTCCACCTCGGGCTATTGTGTCTACCTTGGACCCTCACTTATCTCGTGGTCGTCCAAGCGGCAGCTTGCGGTCTCTCGTTCCAGTGCTGAGGCTGAGTATCGCGCGGTGGCCAACGCCGTCGCCGAGTGTTCGTGGCTTCGCCAGCTGCTTCAGGAGCTTTCTTGCCCTATTGACCGTACAACAGTGGTCTACTGCGACAAGCTCGGCGGTCTACCTCTCCGCTAACCCGGTGCATCATCGACGGACCAAGCATATTGAGTTGGATATTCATTTTGTTCGGGAACAGGTGGCCCTTGGCCATATTCGTGTTTTACACGTCCGTACTTTCCAACAATTTGCAGATATCATGACCAAGAGCTTGCCTACGACGTCATTTGAGGAGTTCCGGTCCAGTATTTGCGCCAGCTGCGGTGCCGCTTCGACTGTGGGGGTGTTTAGTATATGTGTTATGTGCATATTGCGTATTGGGCCTGCCTCCTAATTTCTTGTATAGTTGAGGTCCGTGGCCCACCTTTGTACATCATATATACGTGCCTATGCATGAAGAGCAATACATCGTGCAATCATAATCTTACAAAAAGCATGTAGAAAATGAGGTTGGGGGAAGCAAAAGGCATTTCCTCACAACTCTATGAACAAATGCAACACATATCTAACCTCTTCATGCAACTCCTATTCGTTAGCAGGAAGGGGGCAGAGCTCTTTAAATAATAATAAGAATCACAGAGGCCCACAAAGAATATGCAATTGTTATCAACACATATGAAGGAAACACTTGTTTCCGTTTGAACCATGGCAGCAGAGCGGTAATACTTAATCCTCGTAACAAGATTGCGACATGGATGAAGAACCTTGTCTTCTGTTATCAACAAGACAATCAAACCAATTTGATTGTATAAAAAAATATTGGAAAGATCTACATGATATTGTTATTGCTCATATAATGTTGGGTGGCTTCATAGTATCACAAAATCATTAGGTAAGAATTCTGCCTCTACTCGAGTCACGTTGAAGCCTCCTTGGTTTTCTGCTCAGTCCGAGCTAAGCTCAGCACAAAAGAAATGGAACATTTCATCTTCACTAGTAAAAAAATGGAACTACTAAAATGTGTATATATATTTTTTGGTATAGATACATAAAGGTGTGAACGACAGTAGAACGAGAGGAGAAAATAAACAAAAGCACGTAGAAAACGAGGCTGTGAGAAACGAAAAACATTTCCAACTGTCCGAGCCCTTCTCGCCCGGTTAGTTTGGACCCTGACCTCCCCCTACCCCCTCCCGCGCTTTTCTCTCTCTGCCCTTCTCTCCCTCC